AGTGAAATCAAGTATTACATAATATTTGGGTTTAGTTTATGTGCATTATAAAGAAGTTGTTGAACTTAAATAAATGGAATTTCTGCAGTATAGGTTCTTCCTTGGGGTTTAGGAAGACCGGTAAAGTGACCGTTTCAAAGGTAATAGCTAAAATGGGTGTAGCCTGCCAAAAGGTGACACGCTCGTAGAGGTTATTATTTTATTAAAATTTTAAGGCATTGATCTTATTGTGGTCTTACAATGCACTTACTTACTTGAGGGCATTTGTTTTGCCAAAGGTGATCAATGTCTTAGTGTGGGATAAGTGGTAAAATATTTGAGAGTGCTTAAATTATAACTAAATAACCCTCTTGCCAAAAGGTAGTGGAAGTGTTTAGCAATAATTCAAGTATAATCAAATAGGTCTATGTGCGATTTTATCGTAGGTTTGGGGTAAAGTAAAAATCTAAAATTCTGGTAAAAGGTGATTTTTAGATGGCATTTTATTTGTTCCCGCAGGGTGGATGGTTTTTGCACATAGTAAAACACCCTGAGAAATTCAGCTTAAAACCCCAAGCACGAATTAAAGTAATAATCCCTAAAGTCGTGACATATTATTTTATATGTTGTTTATGTGGTGTTATTCAATATAACATTTACTCTGGTTACAGACGCTTCTGCAATTTAAAGACAGTTCATAGGGATTAAACCATTGAATAGTTAAAATTATATTGCCTAGAAGACAGGTTTTGATATTATATTGGGTTTCTTGAACTACGAGTCTGTGCTTTTTGAGGAAGAAACCCATATGCCTAATGCAAAGTCTTCTTAGGTAAAAAAAAAAGTTGTTGCATTTTTAAGTGGACTAAAAGTATTACGATGCCATTAGGTTAATTTATACTTCTATCGGTGATACTATTTAGGGTGGTATTCTAGTTTTGATACTTCCAGGGAGCTTCTTGATTTGATCAAGAAAGAGTTAATGGGTATTAAGAAACAACTACAATACTATTATCTGACATGGATTATGTTAGTGAGATATGATGGCAATGGTTCAGTGAGGGAATACATCTATAAGATGTGCAAGCTGGTTAATGATATGAGGTAGTAGATAATCATATTTGCTAATAAGTTAATTAGTTCGCATGGTGATCTATTCTCTGCTTAGGTTTTCAGCTTTTCAAGGTGAATTATAATTCACAAGAAGTTAAATGTGGCATTAACCAGCTGTTAGCACTTTGTGTGATTGAAGGGGAACGACTTAAGGGTGTTAAAATCGAGTTAGCTCATCTTGTCATGACAGCAAGAATAGTTTCAAGAAGAAACTAGGCGGCAAGAAAGTGTATAAGACTAAACAGAATAAGAAAGACAGAACAATACATGAAAATACATTATCATATAATGATAAAATGTTGGTTCTGTAGAAATAAAAGGACATCAAAAGAAAAAAGGTCATTGTGGTGAAAAGAAAAACAAAGTAGGAAAGCAAATTGTCATGTTAATATCTGAGCCAAACTTGGTAAAAGTATAGGTATAGACATGGTGGATGGATTCGGGTGTAATACTACTTGTTTCTTGTTTTTCTATAGATTTGATACCTTCCGAATAAAATCGTGATTCAAAAGAGACTTGAACGCTTGGTCAATGATGAGATATTGGGCCACAAATTTTATGCGTTGGTTGTGTCTATGGACAGATGCTAAGAAACGCAATTTTTAGGCTACTCGGTCATTAGGTTGTTTGAACTATATTTATACCTACATTTGTGGTACATTTCTGATTGTAGCTTGTTTGCGGCAAAGGTATTTAATTATTTTCATTGATGGGTTCTCAAGGTATGATTGTGTACTTAATCCACCAGAAGTCCGAAGCACTTGATGTGTGTAAAATCTACTAGACTAAAGTTGAAAGTAGTTGGTATAAAGATTATGGTTTTAAGATCGGACTAAGGTGGTGAATTTTAATGGGAGAATGGTAAGGAGGGTGTAAATCATAGTACTTTCAGTACATACTTAAAGAGCAGTGCATTGTGCCACAGTACACCACTCTTAGTTTTCCTGAACAGAATAAAGTTACAGAAAATAGAAAGTATTTGGATGACTTATAGAGATAGAGTTACATAATACAGATATCAAGGAGCTTGATACTCACATTATCAATGTTAATTTATTGGGCATCCTGAAATATTAAAGGATTGAAGATTTCTAATGTCCAGTATACCTATAGAGATTATTGATATATATCATACAAATTTAATGAGAGTGGTGAATCTATTGGGAGTTTAAGATATTTAAGTTTCTTTTTGCAGAAAAGCATTTTCAGTATATATTCTATTTATTCCAGACTTTATTCCACTTTCTTTAGTGGTTTCAGTTAAAGCTCATATTCTCACTCTTTCAGTTATTTCTCCTTTGCAGACCTTTCTTTCAGTTTCCAATCTAGTTCCTAAGCCTGTTTAGCTTAGAAGATCTTCTAGAGCTTGGAAGTATGCTATAGTTGGTGTTTTTAAGGTGTTTGATGGATATAAGACAAAATTGATGGCCAACTGCTTCAGCAAAAGTGAAGTGTTGATTTCTTTGAATTTTTCTCCAGTTTCATTAAAGGAATCTTTAAGAGTCATTCTTTCGTTATCACTCATTTATGGCTTAAGCAAGTTTTACAGCAATGGTATCCAAATTTTGATACAGTGGTTACTAATTGTAGGTTCAAAGAGAATATTATGGATAAATGCATATACCTCAAGTTCAGTGGGAGTAAATTTGTTTTCTTGTCCTATATGTTGATGATATTTTGCAAGATAACAATGACATTCATGTGATACATGATATTAAGAATTTTATGTACAGTTTTTGACATGAAGGATATGGGTATGCAAAGTATGTCCTTGGTATTAGACTACATAGAGATCATGCTATTGGAATACTTGGACTTTCTCTAAAGGCTTATATTAAGTAAGTATATGGAAACAATTTAAGGGTGACCAAGCATAGTAAGCCTATTGACATAAAGTACATTTTCAAGTATGAAAAGGTTAAGGTTTAAGTGTCATTAAGATTTCCCTATATAGTTACAGAAAGATTGTTGCAAATCATCGTACTAAAGTCCTCAACCGAAGATAATAAAGTATTTAAAGAGCATGTGATTTGGATAGGTGTTCAAGAGTCATTATGGTATGATGTCTGGTATTTCTTTTGTATATGCTACATTACAGTTAGTTTCTTTACGCCTTGCGGTGACAATTATTTTCCTCCAGTTCACACCTTATGATGACAGTTATTTGTATCCAAAATAAAGTTATGATGTATAATTATTATTATCTTGATATATATGGTTTATGCATGTGCTATTATATTTGTCTAGGAGTGGTATTTCATTTATGAAGTTGTTTGGGCTAGATATGAGATTGACACCATATCGGTAAATCCAAATATAAGATTTGTCTAGGAGTGGTATTTCACTCACGAGGTTGTTTGGACTAGATGTGAGATTGACACCGTATTAGTAAATCCAAATATAAATATTAAAGTTTGCCTGTGGGAGTATTTCACACTCCATGAGGATAGGTTAGGCTAGATATAGGATTGACTCCATATCGGTAAACCCTCACATTGAACAGAAGGTTAGCGATTTGCTGTAATATGTTCAGGTAACATACCGCGATGGTATGAAGTAGGACAGATAGCGAGGTGTGCGTTTAGACCACATACAGTTTGCACATCTCATGAAATTCAGTAAAAACCACTATATTTGCTTGAATCCTAGATAGAATCGGTTTTTGAGACCATAGAACTGTTTAGACTAATATATTACTTGTCTACGCATTCATGATCCACTATTGAGGAAATTTATGGAGGAGAGTGTTCTAAAGTTTCAATCCATCAATTTCAATAATTGTGTTTTCTAAATAAAATGAGTGGCCACTCGACTCTTATAAAGTGTGTTGCAGTCCATAGTGTCGTTTTATAAAACTTAAAGTGCATGGACCAAGTGGGAAATTGTTGGAATTTTTATATATATATTTAAATAATAAAAATTATTTTATGGTCCTATGCACTATGTTTTCTAAAGTAAGATTGTAATGTAATTATTGATACTTGATGGATTGAGTTTGTACTTTCTAATTTGGTGGTCTAATTGGGAGTATGATTTTTATATCGTTGGATTGTGGTTTTCCAACTTATTTGGTGTGATTTAATTCTAACCATTAATATCTAAGTTTCCATGATAGGAAGAGAGACTTAGATATACTTGTTTGTAGAGAAGTCGTCCTCCCTGTTGTTGTTATCTATCGTATCGACAACTCTCAGAAGAGGCTAAAGCGCTATAATATTTTGCAGGAACTCACGAGGATTACTTGGATATTTTAAAGGTATATGTACGTTAATCATCAATCAGGTACGAGTCTAAATTATTCTTTAATTAATTAAAATATTCTTGATTTCTACATGGATTAATTTGATTCAAACCCAACAATTGTCTCATTCTCTTCTCCCCTTCCATAGAACTAAACAAAAAGAGGGAATGTCACAATCTCTTCTATAGAGATGTTTCATTCATCTATTCTTCTCTCTCTTCCATCCAATTTTCTTTCTTCCTACCAAACGAGAGAATTACATCGTTTGAACAAAATCAGACCATAAATCTCCATAATCAAACCGAACATCGTTTGAACAGAATCAGACCATAAATCTCCATAATCAAACCGAATCACATCGTTTGAACAAAGTTCACGTCAGTTCAGTAGTTTGAACATAGGATCCGTGCACAAGTCTATGTACACTCCATGTGAATCCAGCCAGGAATATGAATCTAATGAGTACGATTTTCATTAACTGAATTAATAAAGATCAAATACTAATTTGAACATAGAATTACAACACAAATAGCATCAACATCATTAAGAACTACGAAGTATAAATTATCTTCTGCTAAGTGACACAACACAGATCAACATTATTACATATATATATTATTACATATATATATATATATATATATATATATATATATCAATTATGTCTTTATTTTTGTAGGAAGTTCTTGAACCATTGGGACGAGAGTTTTGCATATCTTTTCAACCCATCATTAAAATCTACGTAGTTGATGCCGAAACGAATAGTGTGACCGAACTTCCATTCAAAAGTGTCCATTAATGCCCATGCAAAGTATCCTTTCAAATTGACGCCGTCCCTATATATCAATAGGAAAATAGTAGAAGAAATATCACATCTAGTCATGCTGATAAATTCGACTACAAATTTAAATCTTTATCAAAGCTCCAAAAACTTCGACTACAAATTTAAATCTTTATCAAAGCTCCAAAAACTTACTTAAAAGAAATAAATAAATAATAATAAATGGATAAGGTCCAAATGACTTACTTGAATGCTTTTAGAATAAAAGCCAGATGTTGATAGTAGTACTTGATCCTTGCTTCGTCATTGAGGGCATCCTGAAGCGACAATGTGCCATTATCAGCATCAAAAATACCTAGAAAAGAATAAGGGATATGCAATGTCAAAATGGTATCGATCACCTTTTTCATATATATATATATATATATATATTCGTAGAGGCATTGCTCGATTTTGGGTGGAAAAAAGCCTGAAAAAATTAATTAGTTACCACTTTCTGTAATGTAAATAACTGGATTATTATATCTTCTCTTTATGTAGAGTAGAAGATGCCAAAGCCCTTTCGGATAAACCTGCATCATGGAGCCCAACTGAACCAACAAAATTTAAGAATCGATCATCCGTCACTATTTCAGGTACGCTAATAATCTTAATGTATTACATTTTTTAATAAATTTACACACTATATATACCTGTTCACCCAGAGGGACCCCATCTCTCGCAGCTAGCATAAGGAAATACCATATTCTTTTAGTACCATAATTTTGAATCCAACTAATAACAAAAGTATTGAGTTTGAGGAACTTACCTGTAAGAGTGACCCGATCATCTGTCGTGTAACTTAAGTTTACAGCACTATAGTTGGTATTATGTTTTGCATAAAATGCAATGTAGTAGTTTATGGTAATGAAATCAAATGACCCCTTTATCATCTCGGATTCGTTTGCAGAGAACTTAGGAAGTCGTTCTCTAACCAGAGCTCGCATGGTGAGAGGATATTCACCATCTACAAGTGGACCCATAAACCTGAAATACATGTGGAAGTAATGATTTCTGGATCGAAGTCTTCGGTTGAGCACTTTGGCCCAAATAGTACAGTTCAAAATTAAAAACACTAGCAATAAAGGATATTCGAGCTTTCATTCAGAGCTCCATTGTAGAATTCAGACCTAACCATTACTTAAAAGTAGTGAAAAAATATTTACTTAAGATTAAAGTAGGAGGTTGTAATAAATGACCATTGTCTACAGAATGATAAAGAACAAATTTTAATGAGATTTCAGTCTTACAGATTTGGTTGATCATACCTAAATTTTTTAGAATCATGCTCAGTAAGCATTACAAATATCTGGTTGTTACTCTACGATCATTTACGCAAATACTAATGCACTCTATGCTATTTCATGTGGGACTCGAACCAGTCACCTCCTTTGCGGACATGCAAAAAGTACCAAGTATTTTCCTGAGAGCATGCAACAAGCAAAATTGCTCACCATCCAAGTGTGAAATCCAAAAATCGAATCGAAGCACGATGATCGAGACTCGAATTAGAGTAAGGTATCGGCCAGATTGTAAGATGGGAAATCCCTATCTTTCCCTTTTGTTCCGACTGCATGAAAATTTCACTTTAAAATATTAGTTAATTACAACTGCGGTCCAAAAACCAGGTTGAACAGAGTTAAATTCATGGTGTTAGGTTCTAAAGTGTCACCTGATACTTCTCTCTGTATAATTTTACAGCAGCAGCATGAGCAAGAATCTGGTTGTGTGTCACAATATATGGTTCGGTGCCCGAATCACCTCCTGTGCAATTATTTTGCTGCCAAGAAGAGCATCGACCAGGAGGGAAATTACCGTTATCATATCCAGCAGTGCTCAAGGCCAGTGCCTCATTCATCGTGATCCAGTACTTCACTCGATTACCAAAAGATTTGAAGCAAAGATCCGCATAGTCAAGAAAATCGTCCCTGTCAATATCATAACTATATGTCTTATTTGATAAATTGGTGCTAAAAAAAACATTAAAAGTGTAACCGTTTGGGAGCCGTATGTCTACTCTCAAGTGTCTGATTGGTTTAGTTTTATTAGAACGGCTTTCTACTTTCAAATGACTAGGAACAGAAAAAAAAAATATACGAAAATTGATTTGGTTGACAGTTTTATGGAAAACTTAAAAATTATGATTATTTTTTCTTTTATATATAACGTTATTTTGTTTGTGTACACAAGTAATGTCAAGGGCTTACACAATTAGAGGACTCAAGAAACCACCGTACAGGTCTTCTAAGCCTTGGGGAAGATCCCAATGCAAGAGAGTCACGTAAGGCTCAATACCTATACGTATATGATAAAATACACATTTTTAGATGATGACATATATAAATACACATAAAAATGTTAATTAATCAATAATGAGAGAGAGAGAGTTAATCTTTAGTACTATTGTTTTTTAGCTCATCTATGAGGTTGCTGTAGAACTTTATTCCTTCCCAGTTCACACCTCCATTTAGATTCCCATCTGCAAGTTTCAAATATTAGATAATCAAAATAATTTGTAAAACAAGTTCATAGAAAATCTAATTTAATTTAAGAGTAATGCTATCAAGACAATAAAAATTATTATCTTACGTGGTAGAATTCTGGACCATGAGATTGAGAACCGGTAGCCATCAAGACCCATTCCCTTCATGATCCCTACATCTTCCTGCGAGATGATTGAAAAATTATTACGAAAATTAAATATAATGTTTGACCATAATATATTTAACAATAAAGTGATATCAATAGTACTATTTTTAATTTAAAAGTAATGTTATCAAGAAATTTTTTTATGACGAGTTGGTTTGCATTGAACTTTTCATATGAATTCAAAAAAAAAAAAAAAATAAAAAAATAAAAAAAAAAAAAAAAAAGTCACAATTCAATGGTTAAGTAAGGAGAACTTAAGAATTATGTCACCAGAACTCTCTTAATAGCACTACTCTTTCATATTTACAAGATTGCTCTAAAAATGTAGTCCTTCTAGTAGCATACCTTGTACCGGTGGTAAAAATCAATGGCAACATCTCCATTAGTACGGTCCACTATCCTCTCTGCAATTTACAATGAACTTGTCAAGAATTCGAATACATAAAAATAGTTTATCCTATACAAATAACTTCAATTTTACAATCGCTACGGATGTATAGATAAGAATTTAACATTCGTCATTTTTGTCCAATTTTTTTTTTATTATTTTTGTTGTAGCCGATGATAGTGTCACACCTCTTAAAACATCCCATAATTCATCACCAAATCCGTGCAGTTTCCCTGACCCACATGTATCGAACAATTACCGAAATTTCCTAACTATTGTCTTAATTAATCCAATGATTTATAGCACTGTATGGTATTCATACTAATAGAATACAAAAAATGTACAATAAGAAAGAGCTAGAGCCTTAATTAATCCCATAAAGGACAGACAAGAAGCCATAGCAGCGCGAGGCTACAAACTTCACCAAATTTAAAACAATATACAAAGCAAAGCTAACAAATAGGAGTTAATTGTTGTGGCTCTTGTATGTGAGATAGAGACTGGTTTTGAAAAAAGAAGAAGAAGAAGAAGAAGAAGAAGAAGAATTGGGGGAGATCTCTCTAAAGTGGACAGAAAAGTTGAAGGGTCTTGGGCCCATGTTTTGTTTAATACATTGTTTAAAAAAGAATAAGTTTAAAGTTAAAGGGCCTTGGGTCCAATGTACCTTTTTTAAAATTTTATGCATTTGCTACACTTTTCAAAAAATATAAGGCGTCTGAAAGCGAAGGCCCCGTTTGGCCTGCATTTTGTTTTTACTTTTTTGTTTTTGGGCTACTACAATGTAGATTTTGATAACAAAAGCATGTTTGGTGCGGTTTTGTTTTATTTTACACAGTGCTAAAATATTTAATGAACAGTGGCTCAAAACCAAAACTCCAAAAAGATGTTTTTTCTTGTTTTGACAATTGTTCGTAGCCCAAAACTATAATTGTGCATGTTTCTGTTTCCGACATTTTCACAGCAAAATATCGTTCTTAAACGTGATTCCAATTTTTTCAGAAACATTCCCACAACAAAAACACTATTTCTATTTTAACCAAAAACAAAACACATGCTAAACTGACTCTAATAAAGCAAATTAGTCAAAACATAGAAATGGAGTGATATTCTCAATCTTTCATAACAAAATTATTCATGAGTTACAACACTAACACCATTTAATTTTATTTACCAAAGGGTAGTCTACTGATATATAATCTCTCCAATTGGTAACATTCATACCATTCACTTCAACAATAGTAGCGTATTAATCGAATAAGGAAATGTCAATATTACCCCTTGTATAATATTTGATTTTATATCATTTTTGCTTACTTATCACGAAATTTTTCTAGAGTGAGAGAGAGAGAGGAGACCTGGATAATTATGAATGTAAGTATCCCACAGACATGGGCCTCTACCATCTTCATTTGCAGCACCTTCAACCTGAAAATAAACAAACAATATATATAAGCAGCTACATATATTAACCATGTATTATTATTCTTGTGCTATATATCTTGAAAGGTTTGTGTAGCTCCATAAATTTCAATGACCTGATAAGCAGCTGATCCTGCTCCAAACACAAAACCATCCGGAAAACTACTACGGTTGAACGAATCTATTTTGTAAGTAGGTGATACATGTTCGTTTTGGCGCTCAATCGATCTCCATGGAAATGTTGCATTACTTGTCATTGCACTTGCAGTGACGAGTAGGGCCATGAGGAGATAACTTTGAATCGCCATTACAATTAAACCTTACTTTTGGTCATTAAAGGGAAGCACAAGCTGGGCTTTATATAGGGCTAGGATGGGAAAGATTATTGTAATTAATATTTTAAAAAATGCTAGTAACTTAAATTTCAAATATACGTTTCTTAATGGATCCACATAACTTAATTTGTTTTTAAAACTTTAAGATAGTAAGAGTAAATTTGTAATGGTAAATACATAGTGTATTGGATTCTTATTTGGAATAATTATTTTAAGATTGTCAAAAATAAAAAGGCGGTCAACTAATGTGCATCTCTCAATCTCTTTCTATTTCCACCTTTGAGAAATTAGTTTTTTTATATTTGTGTACTAAAAATATGTATTTTATTATTTTACATATTGTATTTGGGACAACTTAACGCAAAAATAATACACCAGTAAAATTGTAATGATCTAGTTCTAAAACTCTATAACAATTGGTTCTTTAAAATATAGAGATTACATTAGTGTAATTCCTGGTAAAAACATGAGCAAGTTATATTATGGGGTTAAAGTGTCTGTTGAAAAGGAAGAAGAATGGGAATTCGTCTGTAACGTTTGGTCAACAAAAGCAATTACTGTTGAAACGTATTTATTATTGGTTTCTAGATTTTGAAAATTTGAGTCAAATTACAAAGTAGTACTGATTGTGCACATATTTTTATGACTTACACCCTTTATGTTAAATTAAATGTCCATCTCATTTTTGGCGATCTCGAATAAATAAATGTTCCATTTTCAAAGTACTATTTTTTTTTTTTAAGGAAAAACTTCAGAATCCTAAATAATAAAATAGTTTATTTTTAAAATTCATACTTCAATTTGATTGAGTTAAATAAAATAATTGCAAAAGCATCCAGAATTTGTGTTAAGGGCCAAAATACTCTCAAGCTCTTATTTCAAATTACGTAAATAACCTTCTTAAGATAATATAATTTGAAAATAATGCCTCTTTAGTTGTTATTTCCTTCTGCAATAAAATTGTTTACTTATCGACAATATATATATATATATATTATCAAAGAAAGTTATCCCAAATTATCTATTCAAAGTGATTTTATGTATAATCTATTCTAAGACCAAATTCACAAGATTATAGAGAATATACATATATATATATATACTTGCCAAAAGAAACCTAAAATCATTCCCATGCAACTCTTCTCATGTTGGAGAAAAATATTCCAGTTACTAGGAAAGAAGAGAGCAATGGATATTTTTTTAACAATTTCTTAATCGAATACTCATTTGATCTTAACAATCTAATCTTATAAGATACTCCTTAATCACTCGTTTGGTCAGTATGAATTGACCAAAGTAATTGTTGCAATGGATTCCATTTTGTTTTTTTGTTTTTTTTCAGATTTTTTTCTCTCATGCACAACGTTTTTTTCGAACACCGAAACCATCGACTATTATGCTACCTTTCCCTTAGGTGAAGTTGGGGTAATAAAGAAAAGATACTCTAATTTACTGATCCCAAATTATTTGTTCAAAGTGATTTGTTCCCACTAGAAAGCTTAGCATGAAATGGCAATCCATAAAATAAAAAAAATAAAAAAAATAAAAAAAAAAAAGAAAGCACCAATACTGAGATCGGCTAAAACAAAGCAGGGTTCCTAATTTTTTTGGTGTTTTGGAATTATATGATACTATGAAGGATATTTTGGTATTTTGGAATGAGGGTATTTTGGACCTGAAAAATAATTCTTGAAACATTTGTAATTAATTTTTAAAATTCAATCAAATTGAAAAGTAAACTTTTAAAATAGAATATTTGGTTATTTAAGACTCATAACTCTACCTATGTAGTTTTCCCTTTTTTTATAGCACTATCAATTTAGTCCTCTTATCTTGAACTTATAAAAAAGTAAACAATCACATCATGTCGATCCACTATGGACGTATTTAGTAATTCATTCACTACCAATATAAGAAATAAATATTAAAATCCATCATTTTAAAAAATTAGATTTTTGAAAAGGAGCATTTAATTTGAGACGGATGGAGTATTAAATTAAGTTACTTAAATACGATGCATTAATTACTCTTACATACCAACATTATTTGTTCCATATGGTTGTTTCCAAGAGTAATCCAGACCCACAATCCTCTTCATATGGATCTACATTTACTTAGCGGAAACATCTTCGATCACATCACATCAATACATGTATATACATCTATATATATATATGATTGTGAGTAGTGCAGTGCGAAAACTGTTAGTTGATTAACTTGTGAAATACTCTCTAAATGACTTAGGAGGGAGGGGGTTTGAATAGGTCAACTTGCCTAATTTTTATGATTAATTTACCCACTATGATGCTCAATTAAACATCCATGATCACAAAAATATAAAACAGTAAAGTTAAGTAAAGTAGAGTTTGAGAGATAATTCCTTTTTTTTAGCGAGGAAAACCTGATTGGTAAAATCACCTAATCGTTTGGAAAAAACCTTGAGAACTTTCGCAATCCTGAGTAAAATGATCAACTATAATCAAAGCAAAGTACAATGGACCCTGACTCAGGGTCACACTCCTTCGCTCTACCAAGAACCAATTTGTTGAACGCCTTTGCCTTCACGACTCCCAATCCAAATGCCCTTGACTTCAGGCTAACTCCCTTGATCACTGTAGAAGAATTATTGGTAGATCAATAGCACTTTACGAATGCTTTGACTCATTCAAAGTGTAATCACTTCCTCATTTCCTTCAAATTTTGAATTATGTGAAGGCAAATAAAATCTCATTTCTCAAAATCTTCGAATCTTCAATATGCTCCAATTCCGATCAGATAGAGAATATCACCCTAAATCACTCATTTGTTTATGTGTGTGCTCTCTAAAATAAAGTCAAAAAAATTATTTTGATTTTCTGAATAAAAATATCTCTCAAAAACTCTCTAAATTATGAGAATTTTTTCCTTAAAAAGACGTGAAAATTTAGACATAAATGAGATATTATATAAATATTAGGAAGTCCTAAAAAATACTTGGAAACCAATTCAAATTTGTGCAAAAATATCTCCCTAACATCTGATTAAAAAAAAAAAAAAATCCAATTAGACTATAATTAATTGCAATTTCCATATTCGTTCCAAGGAAATGCAACCTGTTCTGCTGAACCAGTGTGTCGTTCATAAGAAATAAATTTCAAAAATCATTTAGCGCAACCAGTTTTGTTTTAACATTACCAGTTCTACTATAGAAGATTCAAATATTTCAAAAATATATATTTGAAAAACAAGGACCACAACTGGTTGTGTAAATTGCCACCGATTTCGGTATGGCATTGCACTTTTGAAAAAAAAAAAAAAAAAAAAAAAAAAAGCTTTGAAAGTTTCCGAAGTGCCTAACACCAAAACTCACCAGAGATGAAAAATAAAGTGTCCTCACCAACTTACCTTTTCTAACATAATATCCTCATATGAATAAAAGTTGAATGCATATTGGTTGCGCTTATTGATCCATTTCCGACATTGAGACACAAAAGTAAAACAAAAATTACAACTCGATCCGACACGTTTTAACACTAAAATTTGCCAATTACAAAATTTATATCTCATAATGACGATAAAATCATACACATCATTACACTCGAGAATTACATACGTTATCCCCTCTCCTCACAATAGTTACCGTTAAATCTTTTACATCTTTCATTTCTCTACCTCTATCTCTTACACCCATCTCTATTTATTGAGTTTTCAAACCCAATTTCTTATTGGACAAGAATTTCACGACTTGCTAATTTACCAAGTCAATCACAACCCTAAAATAGATATCTAATCAATCCACTAATTCCCTCTTCACTCCATATGGCTGCCCAAATAACTTGGATTAATCTTGTGATGACTTTATGGGCGGCTGTGCCATAGGCAGGTGCGAGAGACACTGTCAAGCTACCACACTGGTGAGCTACGGGTGCACAGTACCACATCGCCTAGGTAGAGAAAAGGTGAAGTGCTTATATGTAAGTATGTCAGCTCTAATTGGTATGAGGTCTTTTGGGGTGAAGCCCAAGAGTAAAACAGTGCGGGCTGAGGCCTAAAGATGACAATATCATACCATGTGGTGGAGTGGTTCGTTACAGATCTAAATTAAACAACTCATTATCTTTAATTTTCCCCCAATTATACTGTCCAAATAACTTAGCTTGGTCCATCTTGTTCAGAATACTATATACATACCTAATTAATTCGAGCCACAAAACCCAACATCTACCACCATATGTGTTTTTGAGCTTCAGATGGCATTTTCATTACCAAGTAATGCCTTTCTTTCTAAAATATTATGGAGCTAGTCACTTGTCAACAATTGGTAACTAATATTTAGTAGAAAGAGAATGTATAAAATGTTGGAACCTGTATATACATATATATATATATATATATATATATATATATATAAGTGATTTAGAGACCAAATTCGACAGTTACTGAATTCAATTTATCTAAGTGGAGTGGTGGATTCTATCACATGATGACATCATATAATGGGTATGGGGTTTGGGACCCACCATCCCACTCACATAAATTGAATTGGATCCTTAAATCTATTATTCACACACACACACACACACACACACACACATATATCTCTTAAAATGTCTATAAAGTTATTAGTTATATATATATTTGAAGACACAAGCATCAAGTTGCTCGGGTTGCTCTGTTTGGTCGCAAATATTTGTGCTAACAAAAGTAATCACTTAACTAAACTACCATGCTAAATAAACAATAAATTAAAAACAAACTCACTCTCACTACTTACAACATCGTTCATTCACTCGTCAACTCAAGGCATAGGTCTCTATTTGTAGAGAGCCTAACCCATATCTTGGTAAGCAATAATACAAATCATTGTTGGAAAG